ATTTATATATTATGACAGAGATGCTTGATATTGACTTTTTGCAGATATTCAATATGCCGATATTGTTCAAACACTTAATTTCCGATTCCGATATTAACCGATATTACAAACCAGTATTAAGGTGACATCACATATCTCTTGTCAGGGACATTATGCCTGCTTTTTGATACCCCACTGGATGAATTCCATAGGTAAACATTGTCTGTACAAAAATATAAAAACATTTAACTYAAGTTAGGGAAAAATAACATTTTGTCTCAAACAACAGTTTAGATCATGCTCTCCCTAAAATAATCCAGTTTGATGATGTTATCAATGGCACACCGGTGAACGTCTCTGGACCACAAGCATTTATTAACACATTTTGGTCAAATCCAGGCGTGAATGTATCAGSCTTTTGTTATCAGAAGAGAAACTGATACCAATATGTAGAGCTTTTACATTTTTATGCTAATATCGGACCTTTTTTTTTTTTACTTATTTCTTGGGTAGAACCACAGACTGGGTCAAATAGGCATTATCAATAGGATGGAAGGGATGCTGAAATGAAACTGTAATGTKGAGACCTATTTTGCTCAAAGTTTTCCACATTTTTTAAATTTGACATATTTCAGTATTCTTGGATTTCTATCCCACTCTGGGAAATTGCTATAGACAAACAGCAGACTCATGATCTGTTGCCAACTATTTATTTTCTAGCAAAAGACTTTGACATCAATATAACTCTTATACATGTTTAAGAGCTGGCTTATACCATACACTGGATTTAGCTATAATTGACCCATCAGATGTCCAGTTATTTTTTTTTTTCATGTTAGCATGTCTGATTTTTTTAAACATTCTCAAAAAGATCAAATATCAACCTGTTTTTAACACTTAACAGGAAATGCTCAGTTGTCTTAATGCTTGCTATTTCTTCATTTTTAATCATAAAAAAATATTTAGATATAGAGTAAAGTTTACGGTGGTAACATGTAGTTTAATAGAGGGAAACTGATAAGAGCTATAACTTTTCCTTTAGATGGAGAAAACAGAATAATGCTGTTAAAAATAAGCACAGAAGTCATACTGTATATTGTTCTGTTGAGTAGCTGGTGTGTTTACTGGCTCTTTAATGCAAACTAATTTGACATGTATCCCAGATGCAATCCGAGCTGGTGACTGCACAGATATTAGTGAAGCTTGAAGGAACAAGCACACAGTTCAAAGCTCTGAGAGACTTCACACGCATAGACGCCAGCAGGCAATAAGACCACAAAATGTTTTTCGAAGTGGCAAGAAGAGAATAATAAGTAACTTCTGCTAGTGAAGTCTTTCCACCTTGAAAACATATTTTCACTTTAAACCCAAACAGTCTCCCTTGTTTTCTTTTCGAAGCACTCGGGGCGGCAGAATTATATCACAAGTCAGCGGACCATCTTTAAAAACGGGGAGAAGTTGAAGCCCCACGGCTCTGTGCATTTATTATTTTTTTTTCTTTTCAGTGAGATTGTTTTCTCTAGGCCTTGCATCACAATTATGGAGCTTTTTGTTCCAGTGATTTCTACTATGAGTGGGACACAACAGAAAATATTATTACTGTGGTAAAGTTTTATTTCTTTCAAAATACACAAACAATTGCTGACTACAGTATAAGGACGATGGCACGACGTAACCTTTCTATAGTCGGAGGGGGAAATTTTAAGGATTTATTCTCTCTACGTGTTTTAAAATGCTATATTTCTTCATTTTCAGAATATTTCTAACTCCTCCTGCTCAGTTGTCTCTGCACTCGCAGCCATGTTGACACAGGTGCGATGACGTAACAGACGACAGGCCGGTAGAGGGTAAATTTCTACCGTAGGTCAAACTCATATCGTTTCTACCATCATATCGTTTCTGCCGTCTATCACATATGCCGAGCAGCCCATATATATATATATATATATATATATACACACACACACACATAAATAATATGATGAAGAATGTTTAATTGCAAGGGAGTTTACTTTTTCGGTGGGAAAATATGTTTTTTTCTAAATGACAGATGGGGTTTAGAGTCTCAAAAACATGAACAAAAGTTAACTGTATGCATCATTAACCTTACATGACTACTTTGAGCATCAGACTCTCAGCAGTCACAGAGTTGACGGATGCTCTGCATTAGGAACATATGGATATACATAAACAATAAGATTACGTATTCATGGCTGAAACTGAAGCTCATTTTTGCTTGGTGCACATTGTGATTTAAGTTTTAAAACCTGTTGGTAATTTTTACCAAGGATATTTTCTTATTTAAATACAACAAAGTGCAACATTTAATTTTTTCATCAAAGCGTTTTGCTGAATCTCCTGCAGAACTAAAAAAATCCCAATCATGCTGTTGATAATTTACCTATGTCTTGCTAATATCCCCAGTTTGATGTGACAAAACAGTATGTGCACTAGGATGTCCTGAAACATTTTGGTTTAATCCGCACATGAATTTGTATGTTAGATGTTAATAGGTGCCACTTTGATTCTGTTTATATGTTCTTGAAGCTGATTCTTTTGTCATACAGAACACACCTGCAATAAGACAATAAGATCCAGCTGAAACACAGCTGCTGTTCTGGGGTCATATTTAAAAAGGATTGTGTGGAAATGTCCTGATGCATCTCAGCAATCCAGGTAAAAAATCAAAAAGAAAAATATTGTATAGGTCTTCTGGACG